CCTGTATGATCCTTCTTAACAGCATATTCCAGATTATTATAATAAATTACAGTGTGTTCAGTAATTAATTACTGAATAGCTAACCTCACTCAATTAAAGAATTTAAATCTGGTCACCTTCCCGGTAACCAAATAATAACAAATAGTAACAAATTTATATTGTTATAAACAATATGTCATTGGTGACAGTTATATTCGATTGTCTAGTCAGTCTAGTTAGTATTGAGTAAATTTTTTAATAAAATTGTTTTTCTTTCGCTTAAAAGTAGTTTAAATGGTTAATCTTTTCATTTATTTATTGTTAGTTATTTTGTTATAAAAAAAAAGCCTCGACCAAATTTATTCAAATTTCACCAATCGAATGTAAGTTTCGAACGTTCAATGAACGAAAATTGAAAAAGCCTAAATGGGCCCAACAAAGTAGTCAATAGAGAAACTACATAACGTACAAAACAAAGAAACAAAAAAAAACAATCCTCCCCCTTATCGGAAACAACCCCTTCTTATTTTTTATCCGGGTTGAAGAGCCACAAACGTGATAATTATTCATTCGAACTTAAATCAATTCGTTTACTTACTTTGCCATAATAAAAATATTTTTTATAAATTTTGCTGACTTCTTTACAAATACGTTTGTTATTTTGTTGCAATTAAATCGATTCGTTGACTATTCTTGTCATGATAAAAAATATCTCTCTTCTTTTTCGACTCTTGTTGTGTCCGAGAAATTCTTTTAAGTTTTCTCTACTTTCATGGAATTTTCTTATTAATAATTTTTCATGTTAATGAAACATTTCTATGTTTGTTTTCGTGTCGTGCAATGCACATGTGTTTTTTTCTTATGTTTATAATTTCACTCCAGCTCATTTTTTACTGTTTAGCATTCTTGATTTTAGTTATGTCTCAATGAATGTTTACTATTAGCTCATAAATAAACGGAAATGAATTGATGCTATTTCTTTTACCTTTTACGCATGTGTAACTAAATATCTTCAATCCGAACCAGAAGAGCAATAAAATAGGATGAACATATTTTTATGTATCTCAGAGAAAGCGTATGCAATATTGTAAGGACAGTGCTTAAAAGATGATATTCTTTTTTGTCTAAATTGCAAACCACATGTCTAATATTTATTTACTTTCAAGTTTTAACTATAAGTTCTTGTGAATTTACGTCAGTCTTTCTAAGATTTTCCTAAGGGTTAGTCTTCTTGTCCAAGCGTTTGATTTGATAGAACGAAGTGAAGTAAAATAGTTATATTCAAGTTGTGTTATATTTTTATTTATTATAATATGTGTTTATATATATCTCGTCAGTAATCGTTAGTTCGTATTGTTTGCGTTCTTTTCTTCTTTCAAGTGATTTAATCATTGTAATTTTAGCTTATAAACTGTATTATATATTAGTTTATTAACTGTTAGTTTTTTATTGAGTTAAGTTGCTTTATATTATTTTCATAATTTTAATATTTTTTTTTTATCTCACTGTTCTATCTTGTTCATTCCGGAATAATATTTTATTATGGGTGATAGATACGATTCTTTGGCAAAGTTAATTGCCGAAAATGTGTCATTGTTAGAGGACGTAAATTTTGACAAATGGGGTAAAAATTCTCTTTGCTCGATCGTAAGTTATATAAACGCAATTAATATTTGTCTTATCATATTATAATATACTTTTAGTTCTTATTAAAACAATCCAGTTGTTTTTCTATAATTCCGATATATCCTTTAAAGTACATATTTTTAATCGAATTAATTTGACCGTAACAGGATGTAAAGAAAATTTTTTACTTCTGTAATTATTTTATGATGTATATTGTAAGATTTTTTTTTGGTCAAATCGAGTTGATTATGCTAGAACAATTTAATGTAAAAGAAATTGTTAAATAATCAATTTTTGGATAGCTTCAATTGAATTACTTTTCAATTAAAAAAAAAAAATATATATCGGACAATTTGTACAATTATGGCAAATCAGTTGGTTACTAATTTTTATTCTCTATTAATGAGTTCAGTCTTCTTCAATTTTTCAAATGATTTTTAATAAGCCATGAATAACTACATTGTTTTAAGAATCAGAAATAATATCTTATTGATTTGATCAAAATAATACGACAAAAAATTAATAATCTTCTTTAAAAATAAAATGTACAAAAGCAACTTTTGAGTAAGTGTTGCACTTAATCCTTAAAATTACAATACATTGCTATTGTCTGTTTTACGCATATAATCATTAGTTTTTCTTCTAAATTTTGTGTAGATTGCGAAAGAATGGAAACAATCATGTAACTTTCGTCTCAGAAATCATCTGAGAAAAATATGGATAAATCATGTGAAGCATAAGGTTGCGATTCTTCTGGAAGCCAAAAATGTCATCCAAATATCAACGAAATGAGAACGACCAGTAAAAAACCATACCAAACAACCAATGTAGATTCAGCATCAAATTCTTTCGCTCATGAAAAATGGGGAAGAAAAGAAAAACATTTCCGTGACCAAAAAAAGTCGTCTTCTGGGTGCCGAAACCGATATATGAAAGGAATAAATATGGAAAAAGAATGGAAAAATATTATTGCTAATACTCAAAATGAGGAAACTAAAGAAAAGCTGAAGAAGCCAAATGTTGAAACTGTCGAGTCAGATAAGGAGGTTTTAAAACTTGAGAAATATTCAAAAACAGAAGACACAGATGAACTTGTCATTGACACCCAGGTCGATAAAAAAAAATTAAATAATGGTTCAATCGAATGTTTAGAATATTATAAAAATTCTAAATCATCAACATTAAAAATTGCAGTATTCAGCAAAAAAAAATTGTGTAATAGCTGCTGCAAAAATTGAGATAACAGCAAGACAATTTAACACTTTAATCAATCCAAATAGATGGATTGATGGAGACATAATCGATGCATTTACTTCAACTTTTTTAGACAATTGGCCCAATGTAACATTTTATTCTACCGACATAACAGCATCGATAATCGTGAACTTTTCCCACGTAAGAAATAATCCAACAAAATCATATCTATACAAAAACTGTAACGAAATTCAAGTCATTGGCGTCTTTTAATTCTAAGAATAAAAGAAGAAGAACTTTTTTCAATAAATCCACATAACCATGGAGAGATGTAGATGTAGACGAAAAAGAAAGAGTGGTGAAATCCTTAGAAACAGTATTTTCCATGTCAAATATTGGAACACCATTCAGAAAATTACATGGAATAAAATCGGGGATAAGAAAAATTGAAGAACGGCCAATTTAACCCGAGGAAGATGGAACAAATTGAGGTGTTTTCGTAATGTATTACATCCAATGTATCGGGAATGCATTGAAAAATGACGAGAGCCAAAAAGAATTTGCTTTTGGCCACAAATTGAATTTAAAAAATTTAGAGATGAGGCCGGTATCCGATTACTCAGAAATTCGGAAGATATGACGGAGGCATGTCTAAACTGCTCTAAACAGAAAAAAGACGGCTCAAACATTCAGTGTAGGACATGTCTCCGACCAATACATGCAATTTGTATAAAACCAAATGAAAGCAACACAGACAATGAAGAAAAAACAAAAAAAAAAGAATAGAAAGAAAGACAGTAAAGGTGCTATTTATATTAGTTCTGATAGTGAACCTGAAGAACCAAGGACAAAAAAGAAAAAAAAGACTGCCGAATATTCAAATGAATATGAATTTAGGTGCAAATTATGTTTAAAATATTTATTAGAAAAAAAAAGATTTTACACAGAGAGTAATAAATGATATTTATTTATTTAATTAATAACACGAGTTTCCAACTTATTTCAAGACCTTATTTCTAATAATAAATATTTTCAATAAAAAAAACTCTGTGTGGTATACTCTTTGTAACGGAAGAGTAAGTTAAGAAGAAAAGTAAGTATTTATTTATTTACCATTTATTGTGGAATATTTATGAATATTGAACTATAATAACATAATAATAAACGGAAAAATTAATGAACATAAAAATTCAGAAAGGCATATTTACCCGGATAAAAAAGGGAAGGGGTTGTTTCCTATGGGTGGGGATTGTTTTTTATATTAGTTCTGACTCCAAAGTCAGCAAAATTTATAAAAAATATTTTTATTATGGCAAAGTAAGTAAACAAATTGATTCAAGTTCGAATGAATAATTATCACGTTTGTGGCTCTTCAACCCGGATAAAAAATAAGAAGGGGTTGTTTCCGATGATTTTTTTTTGTTTCTTTGTTTTGTACGTTATGTAATTCCTCTATTGACTACTTTTTTGGGCCCATTTAGGCTTTTTCAATTTTTGTTCATTGAACGTTCGAAACGTCAGGTACATCCAATCGACATAATTTCGGTAACTTCCTAATGGAAACTTAATAATGAAAAAAACGATTTTAAAGTTAATTGAAGATGAAGTAAATTGCTTGGATAGTATCAACATTCTTGACACACCAGGCATTAATGACACTAAGTGTATGTAACTTGAGAGGGTCATTTACGTATGTATCTGTCGTTTTTTAGAGCAGACACACGAAAGATTTTTTATAGAAAATTGAGCATTAGAAATTAATGACAATCTGACTCAGAAAAGAAACAGACGGATGTAATTCTGACGTCAGAATTAGCTACTAGGGCTGATATAAATATTTTTATTATATGAATATAAGTAAAGGTTTTAATCATAGCTCACTACATAACGACACATAAATTTAATATGGAAAAAGTGGTACAAATTATTTGTCCTCAAAACACTAGAAACAATCAATAAAATTTCGAAAAAATCAAACACATCAATAAATTAACAGTAAGAAAGTATACCTATTATTACTAATCTATTGATATATTGGTCATGTTGTTTATTTACTAGTAACTGTTGATTCACTAATGCGTTTACTCTATACAGTGCGGACCACAAATGCTATGTTATTTTCTCTATGCAGGGTAAAGAAAAATCGCATGTATAATTGGCAAAAAATTTAACAGCATTCATGCCCAGTACTTTATAAATACCTTAATACGACTCCTTTCTCATAAAAATTATAAGATGGAAATCGATAATGGACACAAATATTCCGTTTCTTCTATAATTTGAGTAAATTCAATGTTTAGCACTAACCTAGTGCTAATTTGAAATTGACTAAAGAATCGCTCACAGCATGAATCTTTCTTGTTGCTTTTCTCATGTCATCACAAAATGTATTTCTTAAAGCAGTCATTTTTAGTTTTTCTACCAATACGTATTTTAGCAAGTAATACTTTAAACACAGATTAAAAAGACAATTCAAGCATACTGAGATGAAAAAATGTACACATTATAAGCACTCAACTTATACCGTCTGAGCAATTATCGACAGCAAGGTAATTTTTTCTTCTATTTCAGGGGGGACGGCTAAATTGTCCAGGGTACCAGATTAGTGACTTTTTGTTTTTAAGTTGGCACTTCTGGATCTACAGTGGAGAAATATAAGAAGAACTCTTTGTACACTAGGCGTCATGATTGCCTGGTCCATCAAAAACTTTGATACCATCCAAGCAATTATCGACGGAGTAGTTCTTTTTTAAACAGAGATTCTACATCTAAATTAATTTAGAAAGTTCATGATTAAATACTCTTTTAGATAGTCCCCATAACAATAGACTATCCCCACTAAAAAAATTTTGAACTTTAATTTAAATAATAACAAGAAAATTTAAATAATGATAATTATAATTTAAACTTACTTCTTCAGTCATTATAAAATAATCGTGACCATTAAGGTTAGTTTGATTATAGTAATTATAAACTCAAGTTTATAATTAAATTATAATTATCATTATTTAAATTTTCTTGTTATTATTTAAATTAAAGTTCAAAATTTTTTTAGTGGGGATAGTCTATTGTTATGGGGTCTATCAGAGAGAAGTCTTCTCTCTGTAGATAAATTGACGTTTATGTAATAAATTTTGTATATACTAATAAATAAATTTAAATGAATCTTTATGCTGTCACATAAAGTTAAATTTATTTGCGTATGTAATAATATATCAATAATATAGAACAATGTCCATTTCTTCTATTTATACTTTTAAATGATATTACTTATTAGTTTTCTAAAATTCATTATGTACACATTATATCTTAGGGAATTTTATTTTTATCTACAGCACAATCATAGGTATTTTTTTCATTCGGGCCATCATATGGCACCCCATTAAGGCTGGGCTGTAGACAGATTTCCCCCTAAAAAGTTCCTAGAAAATTTCTCTCTACAAATGACGGCGTCAAAAATGGATGAATTTAGTTAATTTAGGACTCAATCCAAAGCCTATTTTATTCTTTACATCAGAAAATAATAATATAATTACATTAATTACTTCATCATAATTAAAAATGAAGATATGCACTCATTTTTCACTAAAACTTAGAGGTGTCATGGTGGATACCGCTGTCATCAGCCATCAACGAGAAAATGATTGATTTCACTATAACCACTGTACCTATACTTTAAATTGTTGTTTTCCGATGTACATAATATTGTTCGGAATATTTAAAACAATATTTTATAATAAAAAAACGAATAAATACAACACAGTTTCGCGAGAAAAATTTCAGGTGATCATTCAAAGAATCGTATTTTTTCCATTCTCGAAAGGTGGCGCAGTAATGATCTTTGAAAGGTATGGAATGATTATTGATTTTTACGACAGTGCCATGAAGAATATAATAAGGAGGCCGCACTGACGTTGGGGAAGTAGGCAAAATAAGTATCAAAAAGTAGAGTTGTAGGGTAGTACACAGAAACGCAACAAGTGGCGCGGGCATCAGAAAGCGTCGGAAAAAAAAAGAGAGGGCATATAAGGCGGAGCATCATAATTGAGAGGAGGAGGAGCATGAAGACAGAAAGTGGTTCCCTCTGAGGGACCGAAATCGAAGCAAAATGAAAACTAATAGAATTGAATTTAATACAAAATAAGCTGAAATCAACTCTCTGCGTAGAAAAAAAAATTGTTCAGAAAAGTAATTTAAGAAAAACAAGAAATTGACGATTGCGAACATCAATAAAAAAAAATGAAATTTTAATGACTATATTGAATATTGGAAGGGACAGTTAGAGAACGCTAATTTGACCTTTTGGCGTCCAGCTTTTCGTCTCGCTGTACTTTTGAAGGAGACGTTCTTATGAAAAAATTCCCAATTCATCGATTAAATTAACAATAAGCGTCTACTGAAGAACTGTAGGAATAAAAATTGGCAGACTAATAGGAAAACGGTCTGATCTGTAATCCTGCCCAACTAAAATGATTAAAAACCGTAAATCGACCTCGCGGGCAAATAGAGAGCATCAATTTTAGAGAAGAATGTACAGAAACCATGCTTTTTCACCTTCTAAAATCTGTAACTTTTTTCAATATCAATATTAAGGAATAAAAATTGGCAGACTAATAGAGAACAGTCTGATCTATAATCCTGTCTAATTAAAATGAAACCGTGAATCGAGCTCGTGGGCAGACGTAATTTTTCTGAAACGATTTTTAACGCTAAGCTCTTCCTGGTATACAAGATTCTACATCGTAACATACTGTTTTTTAGCAGTAGATCCAATGACATCAGCAGAGTCTTTACCTGAACGATTAATGGAGCATTCTCATGCTTGATCTACAGGTATTGAAGTAAATGGAGTGTTTTGGCGCTAGTTGTAAAAAGCCCTTGTAAAAAGGCTTCAAATATTTCTGGATGTGTGGTTTTTAATTGTAGTATTTCAGCAATGTATATTGAACACCAACGTGCATAATTTGTTCGTTAAAACACATATTTAATCATTAGAACGTAAGTCGAAACGTTAGAACACATAATATAACGTTCGAACATATTTTTGTTCATTGGAACTTAAAAAAGATCGTTAGTACGGATTCCATATTGTCGGAACATCAATGGGAACATAAGAACACATAATATAGCGTTGAAACATATTTTTGTTCATTGGAACTTAAAAAAGATCGTTAGAATACATATTCCATCATAAGAAAATAAGTGGAAACGTTAGAATACATAATATAACGTTGGAACATATTCTAGTTTATTGAAATATGATCTGGAACATTAGAACCCATATTCGTCCATTTGAACATAAATAAGTTCATTGGAACACATATTTCATCATCAGAACATATGTGGAAACGTTAGAATACATAATATAACGTTGGAACATATTCTTGTTCATTAGAACATAATTTAGAACATTTGAACGAATATTGGACGATTAGAACATTAAAAAAAATTCTGAGAATGCATTCTCCATTATTAGAACATAAACCGGAACATTAGAATATATATTCGACTATTCGAACATAAATAAGTTCGTTAGAACATATATTTAATAATTAAAACATAAATTAGAACGTTTAATTGCATGATTCAACGTTAAAACATCTTGACGAACATTAAAACATAAATAAGTTGTTATAAACACATGTGTTATGGTCAAAATGTATGTGTGAACTTTAAAACACATAATTTATTATTGAACCATAAGTTGAATCGTTGATATACATATTGAAACATTTTTTTTTTTTTTTTATTATGAGAACGTGATGCTTCCATCACGAAGTAAATAAGAATTTCAATTAATTCTCAGTAAAATTACTAATTATCAATTTAGAAATTAAAATTATTATATTACAAATTACTTTTGTATTTAGTAATTTCGCGAAAAAAATTTCAAATTACTCCTGTAATTTGTAATTTCACCAAAAATATTATCAATTACAAAAGTAATTTGTAATTTGATCTATCTATTACAAAAGTAATTGATAATTTTGCCCTATAATACTACAAAAAAAAAAATATTAATGCTGAACCCTGGAATAGAGCTTACCGGCGGAGCGCCGGAACTCACCGTGGATTAATTTGATTGTTTTTTGATGTTTATTATTTTTCCGTCATTGATTAGAAAAATAATTATGGAAAAAATTGCAATTGATGTTTAAAATTAATTATGGTATCCTAAAATTGTAATTATATGCAATTTTAACAAAAAAAAGAGAAAAAAAAAGGGTTATGACTAAGTTTGAACCCGGCTCGGCAAATTAAAAATCTAGTGCTCTGGCTGCAGAGCTAATATATTAACTTTTCTAGTGTTTAGATTTATAAGTTATAAGCTACTTGCTTAGGTACGAAGGGAGGGGATAGAGCTTGCCGGCGAAGCGCCAGAACTCGCAGTCTTCTCTCTGATAAATAAGACGGAGATAGATGCATATACTTTATGCTCTGTCTTGCTTGGAACAGATTATTACAAAATTTGTAAATTTTTTGGGGCCCTAAGGCGCTCTTTTTTAAGTGTATTCCTGAAAATCATCATTTTTTGAGCAATTTCCCTGCTACCTACTCAATTTCAATTGAAATCTAGCTTCGGCCTTCTGCCGCCCAACGCGAGGGCGCAAATTCAACTTTGGAACTTTTCTTAGGTATAGTCCAGCCTCTAATTAACATTCAAATTATTTCAAATTTTTAACCCAAATAGATTAGGCGAAAGTCATGTTCCCATGTTTTAAAATAGCAGAGTTCGCAACGTACTGGACTGTGGACCCGTGGATGCCAGGATCGAATATCACCATAATTAGGATATTTTCGAACAAAGTTTATAATAAATTTCATTCAAAGTGTGTATTCGAACAACACGTTCGTATAAACAAAGACTCTCTAGAGCGAATTAAAATTTCCTGTTGTTCAAAAAAATCTTTTTTTTTGTGGTAATTAGATCAAATTGAAACGTTCAATCGTCTCTTAAGCTAGTTGTTCCACGAAATGCGTTTTTTTAGGATTTTTTTGAAATTTCGACGGCTCATTATTTAAGTAATTTTTCACCCATATGTGCAGTATAAAATTCATCTACAATATAGTTTCAGAGATATTCAATTTCAAAGTTGGCGTTTTTGCGATTCGTATACATCGTACTACTATACAGAATACCAAGTCTAACTAGAAACATAAAATTAATCAGAATCCCTTCTTACTATTGTAGTGAAACATTAAAGACACTTAAAACAATAGCTAATATCTTTTTTAAAAAAAGTTTGATTGATAACTCCAACACAGTTTCTAAGATATTAATTAATAAATATCAAACAATTTATCATATTATCATATATCAACAATTTAAACCCGCGAAAGAAGGATAAAGTACGCACGCGCTAGAATTTTGCGGAGTTGTTTTTCTTAATGTAATATAGGTGTCAATACCATTTGTTAGTAAATAATAAAACGATTGTAAAAAGTTAAATATATTTATATATTGCAAACTTTTGTGTATACATGAGTCGACTGATGAGAAAACGTTTTTTTGGGGATAATCTAATCTCATAAATATCAAATAATATTTTCTTATTAATAAAAAATTAATGAGCGCATCAATTATAAATTAAAAAAGTTATAAATAGAACACATATTTAAAATACACATTTATCGAAATTATTATGCTGTATATCAACAATACTTAACTACTTATTATTTTTGAAAAATATAACAATGTTGTTAATGATGTTTTGCCAGTTTTTTATTCGAGGTTTTATTAACGTTTTCCGTCAAAAAATTACTTAACCCCACTTCCCCTTTTTTAATGAAAATTTCTCTTAAATTATCATAAGATAGTTTGGCTATAGCTATTTTTCTAATAATACAATCAGAAACTGTGTTTGTTTAAGTATTTAGCATTGAAATGGCTCCTGGCGAAGAGGGTGATTTCCGCGCCAGAAGAAAAAGAAGAAGTAATGATTCTTAGATGGATAGGAGAGAGGATGTAAAAATAGACGATTCCTGTGATATTTCGGGAACTTTAGGGAGTCCCTAAGGATCAGATGGACTGAGTAGGTTCGGGATATGTGCTGGTGAAAACGCGGGAAGAGTTTGATAGGATGTTTTCTCTTTCTCCGTCCAGGAATTACTTCATACCATTTCTGAGAAGTTTCTATTGTGACAGAAGCTTTTTATGTAAAACGGAATAGCCGGGTATTCTAGGGTCTCGGTTCTTGAAGCCGTCAATTGAAGTTAGAATGTAAATTTTTATGATTATTCTGCTTAATATATATGCAAGTAGTTTCTCACCTACCTCATTCCTTGTTTGCTGGTGGTAGAGAAGTTTATACGAGAGGTATATTTTACGAGCGAATATGTATGTAACGAGCAAATCGAATAACAAGAGAATAGTATAAATTTTAGGCAAACGACGATGAGATGTGTTACACATGCAGGGGGGTATGAAGCACCCGTCTGTACGTTGATGATGTTCGTAGGAGGTGTCCTATCAGTGTACAACTCGCAGGATTCATCAATCCGCGACCTGAAGCGGACCTGCTATTACACGCGTTACAATGAATCAATCGTACTTGTCCAATTGTAATGATTAACAATAATTACAAATATCAATGCTCTGCAGTGGTCTGGGTGCGACCCGAAAGGTCCACACGACCACTTCCCAGTGGAAAAAATGAAAAAACAATTCGAATAAAACCTGTTTCCATTTTTTATAACAAATGGAATTGTTATAAACGAAATGAGTCTGTTTTTATTCATTTGACACAGTGTTCTGACTTGGAGGGCCCCAAAGTCAGCAAGTCTCAGAATATTCGAAAATTGTTAATGCCGGACTTGTCCACCGGCGCGTCATTCAACTCACTGGACCAATCATCGGGAAGTATTTCCCTCATGGCCCAGAAGGCAACTCTACGGCCCTAGTGACGCCAACAAGCACGCGGTCGAGCAACTCTCGTGAACATAATTGAAGCTTCACAATCAATCTCATCAGTGCCAGTGGTCCAGTACAGTCAGTTGTAGTGTCTTTGGGCGCGAAGCTGAACTGGCGTCGACGCCATAGTGCCTCACGGACATTCACATATACATCGCACACCCGAACAACTCTGGTGTATAACGTGAATGTTGCTATTCACCGTTTTGAGACGGTTTTTGGTGAAACATTGACCAGCAGACAATTCACAAGTGTAGAAATAGTTGAATTACGGACAACTCAATGAACCTTAGTGATAAGTGCTTTCTATTGTACTAGTTTAATTGTTAATTGTTAATAAAAGTAAGAAAACCATACAATTTTGGTGTTAATAAACTATTTTTAAGGAATCTTCTAGCATCCAACCTTTTTCTTTATTCTGCTCTTATTCATTACAGTCCACTAAGTTTTAGTTTGCTCGTCCGGATGACTCGAAGTCAGAACACACAGTTAGTTACTTTATTTCAGTAAAAGAAAAAATCATGCGTTAAACGTACACATATATATAGAATGGATCCCTATTTTTATTGTTTATAACAGTTTAAAACTTATTATTTGAATATTACTATTTTCAATAATCACTTGTTAGTAACAATGTTCAATTGTTATAAACACAATTCCATATTATTGACTATTATAGCGTCTTTGATGCTGTTTTCTCAATCTTGACACGAGTTTAAAATTCTTTCATTGCTGATTTTGTTTTTTAAAATTTTTTTTTTCGATGAAATATTATCACCATATTTTCATACAAGTATTCTAATTATTTAATATTCATATTTTTTTTATGATTTCATAATTTTGTCTAAAAAATGGTACAATTTATAAATTGAGAAATTCAGGTTGTTTTCCATTTTTGCTAGTTTTTTGGTTCTGCAAAAAAAATGGCTGGACCGATTTTCCTGAAAACTTTTTCAGTTCTAAGTTACGTAATTACGCGTCGAATGCAATTGGTCCCACATCGATATCATTTTTTGTTCTCGAGATAATCGAGGCGAAAAATAATGCCGAACGTATGTACGCACATACGTACATACACACACATAGACGTCCACTGGAAAACGGTCGTATTGGATTCGCGGGACCTTAAAACGTGGAGATATGTCAAAATTAGCGATTCGCAAAATCGGACCCATTACTATAACTTCCCACTGGGAAGTTGATAATTACTAGAATACTAGCCGGGTACGAGGCGGCGGTAACAAACAAAGTATATGCCAGATATGCCCATATACATGCGTTGTCTGCTACACCTTCCGGAGACGTCGAGTTTGGCGACTACTACGTGACTGCTTGGCAAGTGGGGGACTACCCTGGCGTCCTAACTCGTGTGTCCGTTCGCTAGAAGTCTAGTAGCTTCGAAGAGGATGTCTGTTGGACGATCTTCCCTGTGCGCATACACGAATTCAACCGTCCTTGGGAACTTCCGTACTATTATGTGCGTTTATATGCGTGCGACATTAACTTAACGCTTGTCTAGAATTCTGCCGTTCAACTGTTCTCGAGGTACTTGGTGGATTTTGGCGGGATCTCCTTCCATCGTCTAGCTCCGCCCCTTGGAGCGATTGAAGCGCTGACCAAAGTGGTGTTCTCTGGTACGTTGTCCTCTATTTGAGCTTGGTAGGTCACGTAGGTGCTCTTTATACCGGCTGTTGGTGTGATGGCGCTGTAACAGCAGTGTAAAGTCTCCCAAAGAGGGCGACATAAGTATTTTGTGGCCTCAGGTTTGTTCTGACCGGCACGAATGGCGCCACTTGTCCGGAATGGACAAAGAGTTTAAACCCGTCTTGTCACAGCATATCAGCTATTTGACTTACTTCATGCATTTCTAACACATCTTTGACGACTTTATTAAATGCTTCGGCATTGTTTATTAAATCTTTGAATTATCATCTGTCTCCTGCGATAACAAGTCTTTGGCAAGTTCTGACAATTAAAATGCTCCTCTTCCTTTCCTATTCGGTAATTTTTCTGAAATAATATTAAAGAGTCCGAAAACCCTTTTATTACTGACTGGAAGTCATCAACCATACCACTTTGCATGATCGCTCGAATCAAGTGTTTCGCATCAAATTTTTCGTTATGTGCTACCAAAACTGATGGCTTGGTAGACATCAACAGAAATTCTTTAAATTTTTGTGAAGCTTCTTTCAATGAAATCCTTGATACGTTACAATCATTTAAATATAATTCGTTGCCCATCGCTTTTAAACCATTCACAGCGGAAACAGCAGCAGCTATAGCTTGCGTCGGTTCAATGTATTGCGAAAACGTCCGTCCTTCAATTTTTACTGCTAATTGCAATGAATCTGCTGAGTTTGCAAACCCACTGGTTTTAATGTCAAAATATACAATAGCAAATGAACCAATGCTTTTTTAATTACCGGCAATCTCTTCATCATTTTGAATATCTTCATTATTGTTAGCATCAATATCAAGGCCGCAGTTAGAAAAATATTGTAAACTTTCAGTATTTTCTTTTTTCTTCCGCAGATTTCCACGTTCTTGTTTTAATATATTTCGACGACATTTCGTTGAGTGCATTTTAGCGACTGCAGCTCGTCGTTTTCTCTCTTGATCTTATTGAAGAGCAAATGGCTGAGTGTTTTTACCTGGGGAAAGATTAAATTTTGTCTTTACCCGAAATAAATATTGTTCACCATCATTTTTGGTACATATTGCACTCCTCACAGATAATCTGCGGATTCACTTAAACTGTAGCAATTGTTTTTGGGTGCTTTATGTGCCATGATGTTATTTGAACTCTCGTTTGCTTGACTACTCGCAGCTATGAGAAATTTTGAAGAGTTGGCAGCATATTTATCAAAAAGCTTTTTTAAAGATGTATATAACTTTTTATCTTTCAGAAGAAATGTCTACTTTTTATTTTCTTTAAGCCTATCAGAATGATGCTAACACCATGTATCACAATTTCCGTGACTACCGAATACATGGTCTGGAATAACAGCAATAGTATTGGCTAGTTTAACACTGTTACCTTTGTTTTGCACAACAGCGTAGAAAAGCATTTTTTAAGTGCGGTATCACATGTCGTTTCTTCATTTCTTTGAACTCTTTATGCAAATCATATAGTTCTTTGGAAAAATTTTTCTTTAGATGGCTGGAGTCTGCGAGTTTAAATATTTTCTTCTGCCTTTCATGACGGACAGCTGCGATCATCGAACTTTCCTCGTCACCAATTACAACACCTACATTTAAGCCGACTTCTTTCAAAATAGAATTTTTATTTCTTAATTCAGCCCCAACATCAGCTTCCATAGCTTTAGCACTTCCTCGGAAGTTTGAACGACAGTTGTGATCTTTGGGACTTCGTCAGCTTGCATTTTCGATTTCGGGTTCTAAAATCCCGAACTTTACCTATTAAAAAACCTATGATAGCCCTATAACCATTCAAGCTATCATAGCTTCTACCATTTCCCCGCTTATTCCAACCCATATCATACGAAACAATTATATTAACAATGTTTTCGATAGCAGCATAAAATTTTTAAAATTTTGATTTAAAATTTTCTGAATGTCCTGAAGAAGCTGAAGTAGAAGCAAGTAACTCTGAACTCGATGAGATGCAGTCAGGAAGTAAAGATGTTAAAGCTCCGTCTACTTGAAGATCAGCTTTTAAGGAAATAAACTCGTCATAAATTTCTTGGGAAATTTTTTCAGGCCTAATGGAAAAGAAATAATTATATTATGTTTTATTCTAAAAAAAAGAAATTAATGAAACCCTACAATTTCATTAATTTATCAGTTCATCACATAGGTACAAGCTATATGATTTTATTAGTAAAAAATTATCCTTTCTTTCTAGTCATCATATTGATAATAATTCTAAAAATAACAACTATGATTATAGTTATTAATTAACATTATAATTATCAGAATCATCACTATTACTATTACGAAGCTAAAACTAATAATTACAATTTATCAACATTGTTATTTGTCGAAATTCAAATAATTTACAGTTTTTTTCTTATCCATAATTATCAAGAGTAAGAAGAAAATATTTACAATTTTTAATGTTAAAAATAATGTCTTACAGTTTTTTACATAATTTTTCCACATTCTCTACTACTAATTAACGCTCTTCCTCTGCAGCTTGTTTGCAACTGTCTTTGGCAACATTTTCTATAATAGCCCCAACCTCTCGTTCATATCTTTTGAACAATGATGATCAAATAACTGATATACCCAGCTCCTACAATCAGATTTAAAGATTAATAAATTTAGTTCAATATTTTCATTATACAACTTAATTATAATTTTTATCAAATTGTAATATTTAATGTACATTCTAATTTATCTTATTATTTGTGATAATTTTATCATAGATAATTAAACTTACCTAACATAATTGTTGTATTCACGTCATAACGCGTCACATCATCTTCAGACGTATGCTTTTTTCCAGTGCTCACATTAGTTAATATGGAGCAATCTTTACATTTGATTGAAAACACAGAATTCAAACCAAATCGTGATTCTTTTACAATATTTTTTAATAATATATTTTGCTGACAGTTACAGCGAACAAAGCTTTGTGCCAACTCATCTATTTCAACTATTCGGGTTCCTACAATTTTTTTACAGTTGTTTTGGTGTTTTTTTGCTTTGGCCACTGCCGCAACAGCTCTTAATCGCTTGCTGAGCACTTTTTGTTTAATGAATCGTCCTTCATAATGCACTTTATCTGACATGTCTGTAATATTTATATCGAAATTTTAGTACACAAATTTATAAACATGCGTTGCAATACAGAGGTTACTCTATATTATGAACAGTACATAACAATGGTGCCGTGTTTAAATAACCGCGGACAAAACAACTGCGATTAAATAACCGTGCATCAATAACCGCAAGACAAAATAAGTGCAGGTAAAATAACCGTTATTTTGTGATTATGTAGAATATACAATCCCATGTGTAACGGCAAAACCAACCGAATTGTCTCTTATTCTGTAGGATTTTCAATCTTGTGTTTCCTTGTATTCATGAAGAGAGAAATAAAACTTAGAGGCAAGAGGAATTACAGGGATAAAAACAATCCCAACTACAAAAAATATAAACCACACTTCAGAAGAAAGAAAGACAGGTATAAATGTAAACCGCCTAAGATTACTATAGAGGAAAACAAAGTCAAGTACCCAGAAGTAGTTAGGTACTTGGGGGTCTGGTTCGGCAGAGACCTTAATATTTCTACACATATTCATAAACGACGGACGTAAGCGGAAACGCTATTCCATAAAATAAGACGCCTTTCGCGAAAGCGTTGGGGACTTACTTATCACACCTGTCTAACCATATATAGGGGGTGCTTCCTCCCGGTGATTGCTTATGCGTCCCCGGCATGGAGCGATTTATGTAATGCTAAAGATTGGCTAACGCTTGCGGCCGCACAGAGAAGCGTCTTGGGAGTTGTCACGCGCGCTCGCGCATCTACCCCGAGGGACGGCCTCTGTGTGGCGGTAGGCGTCCCGCCTATACGCATGGCGATCGTTGATCTCAATGCGCGATATACACTCGGTACCGACGAAGCAGTTACGTACAACAATGTCAAAATCTCTTTAAATGACAATATGTCAGGAGAATCGTCGACGCCGATGATGAACCTTAGGTTACAAACATTAAAAATATGACAGACAGAATGAACAACCTAATGACACCAATATTCACAAGACATGGCATATTTTGTGCACATTGTGACCATATGCCACCGAGATGGATCCAACTTGTCCTAATTGCAATAGGGAAGATGACGACACAGTAGAGCACTTCTTGCTGCACTGTTCCGCATATAGAGACAAACGTACGGATCTCATATCGGTCATACGTTCGAAAACGAATGTTGACCTTAGCTCAACATGGCCTGAAATAGCGCCAAAGTTTGTCCAAACAAGGGACACATGTAAGGCCCTCGAACAATTCGTCAAGGCGTGCGCGGAAAAAAATTTTTTCGAGGAGATCAGAAGAATCCGTAAGGGGATGAGAGAAAAGAGGAGGGTAGTGCGAATGGGGGCAGCAATGCCCAACACAGAATCCTCCGCCCCGTAGAAGTAGTAGGTCATTACCAGCGTCGTAAAACATAGCTCGTAAACTTTATTGATCCACACCTGGGTGTTATCGGAGCACCTAGGCATAGATTGCAAGCCTACAATCTTCGCAGAATACCTGCAACCTGTGGATCAAACGGATAAGGATTTCTCACTCAACAACAAATAATAATAACGAAGCAATAATAAACTTTTACATATTTCGGGAAACGCCTTATACTAATCATTTATTCTTTCAGGTGTTGACAATATAATCGTGCTCCCCTCACACCATAAACAATTGGGGCCGCTGACCAAAGCGGATACAACTGGTACTACGGCCGCAAAGTCGAAGAACGATATGCAGAGAGCCGGGTGCTTTCGGTCAATTGAGGTTGGACTCGTAGTGGTATGTTGCAAGGCATTGGGCTAGATGCGTGCATCCTCGTGCCTCTCTAAAGGCGCAAGAATACAACGTCCCAAGTAACGCCGTCACTAGGAGTAGAGTCATCCCCAGAGTTATGCCCTATAAGGCGAGGTACTCAAACAAAATGTCCTTCTCAGGACAGGGAAACAAGGCATAGGGAAATCACATATATAACCTTTAAAAAATTGAACAGCATTTATGTCTGGTACTATACGATACACTCTAGCGTAAACTTTTTACTATAAATCAGCACGTTTATGCGTGAAAATAAACCGTAGTGAGGCAGCCTTAACCTCAGTTATAACATCGATTGGTTAAGGCGTTTATACAGTCAAAATTTATCTAAGTTCGGTTATCCCGCCAATCTGAATGAATTTTATTTTTCTAAATTCTGGACATACGGAAAAAAGAATCGTCGATAATAATCTTACATTTGTATTTATTTTGACGAATAAATCGATTATTTTCGATTTACATTTAGCTACTTCGATGTTTAATCTTCGTGTATGGCTCTTAACTCACGTTAAAGTGTTTATGCGTTACCGTTAACCTAGGTTAGCTTATTGACTGTGGGTACAAAACCCTGGTCAGTAAGGTATAACCGTAGTTAGTTAACCGAAGTTAAGGTGCGTTTATGCGCATCTAAGCCGCAGTTATAACCGAGGTTAGAGCTTCTTAACTTCGGTTAGTGTTCACGCATGAACATTGTCGTGGAACAATTTTCTTAATATGTTGCGTAAACTTAACTGCGACCTGTCAGCTGGACTCGCTTTTGTCCCAGCTCGTGCTCCGTCGAGCTCACCCGACCCGCTCGCCCTATCCTAGCTCTTTTTTTAGTACTCATCCAATCACAGCTCTTATTCTCCAACCAAACCAATGATAGTTGTCCCACCATTGAACTAAGTCTACCGACGCCGGCGACAACGTGATTGCAGCCATTAACGCTCACGCGACGTCCTAGTACACGTATTCTGTTGCCGTTCTGTCTATTTTTCTTATCATAATTTGTTCAGAGCTCATTTATCAGCTCTAGATTGCTCAAAATTGTGTCACGTAAGCTCTAACATTGT